GACAAGATAAAGTATTAATGTAAAAATAATACATCATTTTAAATAAAGGAGATAAAGGGTAGTTATGCAGTGAGAGGAAGCTTACCATTTGTCATTGTTGCATTGCACTAGGTAGAGAAAATTATTAAAATGGTTATTAATCTTCAAAAAACAGATTTGTTTGAAAAATAAAAATAAAAAAATTCTTAACATATCTTTACCTGCCCACTGTATATACTGCAGTCTGTGATAAAAGCACAAAAAGACCCAATTAGTTAAGAACTCCTCTTAGTTATTAATAAGATATTAATCATTAATTGACATAAATGTACAATCATAAAATGATTCCTTGATTACTTTTGCCATAACCAACATTCAATAAAATAGCATTTTGAATATTGCATGGCCCTTTATATCTAACATTGTATTGAAATTAAAGGAAACGATCTTATTGTGATCAGCTTTACATGTAGTTAAAGTCATTACCGTTGTTGGAAAATGTTATATAAGGAGAATAAAATAAAAGAAGTAAACATTGGGAAAATAATTTACATAAGTTTTGATACAAAACATTTATATTCAAAATCTCTCTCTCTCTCTCTGTGTCACTCTCTCTCCCTTTTTTTTAAATAAAAATCTCACCAAGTGGTAGTTGTTTGAATAAAGCCACTTTAGTGTATGTGATGGCTGAAGCTACGTCAGAAGAAGCTGTTGCCATGGCGTCATCCAGTCTGGTGAACCTGCAAAGCAAAAATATTTTTGATTCAGTAAACTAAACTTGCTCTGTGATTGGCTAGAATTACTAAATTGATCCATTTGTGGCAAACACCAAAATAACCAGAACAATTAGAGAGAATTAGGACATAAAAATGGATTGAAATCTTCAAATTCAGTAATTTGCATACAGTATATTTCATTAGTATTGTTGGTAAAACTGCCTTTTATACTGTGATTTCATAATAATTTGATGGAACAAAGAAAAGTTTGAAGGTCTTTTATCCAAATGCTACAAATATTGTTCCACCCAAACGCTTTAGCATTAGCTTCATCCACAGGAAGTGCCTCAAAAATATTTGTCACTGACCCTGACTTTAATTACAAAAAACAAATCTGTATTTTTGTGTCACTTTTAAAGTCCTGGCTTCATCTGCACAGAGTGGTCAGTCCATGTATACACATTTCATGTAAACTCACAGTGTTCTGTAGGATGGGCAGGAAAGGAAAATACTTCCCTGTCGGACAAGAGGAAAAAGTGAGAAATTAGTTACTTCCTCAAAGTGACAGTATTATATATTGTTTTAGGCACATAGCATAATTTTATAGCACAATCAAGTAACTATGTTACCTCCAGTTCTTATAATAATGCCAAATATGTCAAATACGACTTAAAAGACATTTGACATTGTAAATGAGCTCCTTGAATTTGGACCTCTGTCTCTTCAAAAACTCCAGCTGTTTCAGAAACACTGCCTTCAGGAATTCATCATGTTGTTGCTCCTCTATTAACAAGGTTTTTATCAGTGGTTTACTGAGAAGTGGCTCAAATAATGAGCAGATGTTTAGTTCCACCAGGGGTTTGCTAATTGCTGCTGGTTAGTCTGAAGGAGCTGAGTGGGGGAAAAAAAAATGCAGCTGAGAGGAGGAGCTTCGTTCTTGAAGGCGGAGCTAACTCCACCCAGGCGTTTTGCACAGATGAATGGTTGCCATTGAAGATAAAAGAATTTCTCAAACATGCATGACAGAATCAAAGTGGCACATCAGGCATGTTTTTGATGAGGAAATAAGTTTGTATCATGATTTAAAGCTCAAAAAAGTTGAATTTACATAATAAACAAAAATCTGCAAAACCACTGAACCATAATAGATTTTTTTTACCGTCTCGGTGAATCTCACGAGGGATGACAGGAACCCTATGAAACTGCTCTCTGGTGCTTCGATCATGTAATCAAAGAGAGTATTGATGACAACATCTGTGTTTTCAGGAAGCATCAGTCTCAGCAGCTCTGCAATCTGATCCTGTGTGAGGAGCTGTAAGGCCTCCAGCTACAGAAAAAGAATAAAAAATAAAGTTGTTTGAGACAATTGTCACGTTGACCTTTTATTTCAAAATGCTGATAGCTTTAGACAGTCTGAGCCTCACTGGTTTGAAGAGTCGGTTGAGATGGATCAGCTCACTGATGAGCACAAACTCTGAGAATGGACCGAAGTTGTCGGTCAGCCACTGTGCGCTGTTGTTGAAGGAGGACAAACATCCTGGATCTGGAACAGGACAAGAAAATGGAGATTTGTGCAAAGTATTTATTGCTTTGAATACTATTCACAAAATTTTTAAATTAAATCCTAAAGTTTGTGTGTTTATTAATATAACATTGAAAGAAAGTTTTAAAAATGGCTAACCACAAAATAATGAGCTAAACAACACAAAGCTTGGGGGGGAAAACAGCTGATATTGATTTGAAGGATGAAGAAGATTAGTTGTCTTGGAAACACCAGACAATCGTTATAAAAGTGAAGAGACTTAATGTTTCTCAAAACTCCTCTACTTCGTTATATTTCAGACCTACATAAGTTTATTAAAATGTCAACATGCATGGTAAGGATCAGTTCCAGGTTCCTACCTGCAGTGTTGTTTGTTGTCAAATAAACTGTGATGAAGTGTGTAAAGACAGACATCTGCTTTTCACGCAACATGTGTGACTGAACTTCGCTCAATGTCTTCACGCTGAAAATGGAAAAGATATTTTATTATCACAGATTGTAAAAGAGATCCAAATATATTTGTAAAGTGATTATAAAGGATAAAGGTATTCATGCTTACATGTACTGGTAGGTGCTGCAGTCCAGTGATTTGGAGGAGAGACATGAGAGGAAGTCCTCGGAAACAGCTGGCAGGGACGGACGAGGGCGGCCGAACCACATCTGGACGAAGGCGGGATCGTTGAGGTCGGCCATGTTGACGAAATCCAGCCGGAGTTCTCGTATGGAGTCCAGGATCATGGAGGCAGAAGGATGGTCAGGACGGAGCGTCTGCAACAAGAAATGATCCGCGATAAATTCTTAGCAAAATAAAAGATCTTGAAGTGTGTTTACATACATAAATTGTACTTATTGTACAATTTATTAACATATATTTTCAGCCCCAATATTTTTTTTCTTTTTGTCATATCACAGGTGAGAAATGTTTGTAGATGGCAATAGTCAATTTGGTTGAAACCAAAAGCCAGTCTTACGGTGTTGCTCAGCAGATCCAGAGCTTGATCCAGGACCAGGGAGGCTTTGGACAGCAGCAGCTTCCAGGCAGGTTTGGAGCCTCTTGAGTCGGAGACCCTATCACAACCCAACATGGCTGCCAGATCCACAGCTGTTAAACCTGACAGCTGGAGAGGAGAATGACAACAGACCAGATGTTGAACCAAACATGGAACCATTTTCCCTCAGCTGCACTTTGAGGACAGATGATGATGCGACGTCTTACAGAGGCACAGGCAAATTCCTCCACAGAGAAGCTGCAGTGCCGTCCGACCATCGTTGATCTGTCTAGGTGGATCTGAAGCTCTGTGCTGTAACACAAAATGATTCATGTTTCCTTAATTTAACAGGAAATGTTTAGGGGAGAAATATCAAAAAGTCTTTCTCAACCCTACCTGTTGACTCCCATGCATATCTCTGTCTCTGTGAAAACGTGCAAGACAAGATAAAGTATTAATGTAAAAATAATACATCATTTTAAATAAAAGTAGATAAAGGGTAGTTATGCAGTGACAGGAAGCTTACCATTTGCCATTGTTACATTGCACTAGGTCGAGAAAATGATTAAAATGGTTATTAATCTTCAAAAAACAAATACATTTGTTTGAAAACATAAAATAAAATGTCCACAGTAGCATATCTTTACCTGCCCACTGTATATGATGCAGTCTGTAATAAAAGTACCAAAAAAAAAGATCAAATTAGTTAATTATTAAACAAATGAGAAATGATTTGTCAGTTGACACGAATTTACAATCATAAAGTCAATTCCTCAGTGTATAATCAGTAAGCTGCATTTTGGATATTGAATGTCTTTTTGTATTTAACATGGTAAAGATGTATTGCCACAGTCTTTACATCTGATCCACATTAAAAATGTAACAGTTGGGAAAATGTTAAGTGAAATGAAAGAAATTAATGGGGAGAGATTTAACACAATTTATATTCTAAAAATGTTTCTCTTTTTTATATATATATGTATATAAAAATCTCACCAAGTGGTAGTTGTTTGAATAAAGCCACTTTAGTGTATGTGATGGCTGAAGCTATGTCAGAAGTAGCTGTTGCCATGGCGTCGTCCAGTCTGGTGAACCTGCAAGGCAACAATATTTTCAATTGAATCAAACTAAACTCGTTCTGTGGTCAGTCATCGATGTGAGGCAAACACCAGAATACATCAGAGAGATGATTTTAAAAAAGTTTCATTACTTTATTTAAATTGAGGTGTTTCTATATGATAGGTTCCCCTTGCAAATGTACGACATTTGCTCCAAAACTTTTACTTTCCGTCTGATGTCCTTAGATGTTGTTTCAATATCTCCAAATTTCTCATTATGCTTTTTAATTTGCTGCCATTGTCATACTCCACATTTTGGATGACCTTCTTAGAGTTGCAAGGTTCTCTTCATTTATCCAAATATTTCAAATCTCGCTACACTCAATGTTTCATCCAAAGGAAATGTCTGGAAAAAAATGTTTGTCTTTGTCCCTGATGCCTGACTGTATTTACAAAAGGAAACCACCCTTGTTTTTCTGTTTAGTTTTGGCTTCTTCCTCAGAGGGTGGTCAGTCCATGTTGGTTCAGGACTCAAATCAGTAGCTGCGTTTCCATTGACCATATAATTGCACAACTTGACATTTTGAAAATGGATCTGCTTAATGAAAACATGACATTTTTTTTTTTTTTTCAAAAACTCTTGTCTTTAGAATTTGGTGCTAGTTTGCGGTGGTTCTATAACTGTATTGAAATGGATGTATTTCACAAAGCTGCAGTGGAAACACTTTTTTTGCATCACCCGAGTCATGATCAGTAACGGGATGCTCCTACTGGCGGAAACCATGAAAAAGAAGACAGCAGGAAGTAGATGGAGGATCATGACTTGTCGTGTGTACAAACGTATTCACGTGTGATTTCAATTGCATTTCTTATTTAATGGAAACAAAACAATTGTGAAATTGTGTTTTTGACATTATCTGATATCAACAAAATTTTGCACACATTTGTAATGAACATGCAGCTTATAAGCTCATCGGACACTCATTGAAAAAAAAATGCTGCTAAAGACGACTCTGAAGTTCTTTTTTACTCTACGGTGCGACATAATTATGCTCATCTTTCCTAGGCACACATTAGTTTCCTAGGAACTACCAACACTTCACTCTCGTTTGGCATTTCTGGCTACAACTTTAATTGTGTATATTGCAGGTTTGATCTGAACTCACAGTGTTTTGTAGGATGAGCAGGAAAGGTTCAACTGTTGGAGAAAAACAAGAAGAGGACAAATGAGCTACTACCTTAAAACAAAAGTCCTGAATCATAACAGACTTTTCTTACCGTCTCAGAAAACATGACCAGAGATGACAGGAACTCTGTGAATCTCCTTTCCACTGGTGCTTTGGTCATGTAATCAAAGAGCATGTCGATGACAGCGTCTGTGTTATTAAGAAGCGGCAGTCCCAGCAGCTGCGCAGTCTGATGTGGTGTAAGAAGCTGTAAGGCCTCGAGCTACAAAAAAAAGAAAAAAGAAAGTTATTTGGCCTTATTTTTTTTAAAAGCACTGATCTGTTTTTAACAGTCTGAGCCTCACTGGTTTGAAGAGTCGGTTGAGATGGATCAGCTCACTGATGAGCACAAACTCTGAGAATGGACCGAAGTTGTCGGTCAGCCACTGTGCGCTGTTGTTGAAGGAGGACAAACATCCTTGATCTGGAGCCAATCAGGAAGAAGCAGAAAGTCGGTAAATACTCAAAGATGTGCATCTTAATGTAAATATAATTCAACTATATCAACACAGATTTATTAAAGAGTGCGTACCTGAGTGAGCATTCAGAAGGAATCGAAGGATGAAATCTTTCAGGACCACAAGCTGCTGTTGGAAGGGCATCTTCTCAAAGTGGCCAACAAATACCTGCAGTCTGAGGACGAATATCAGATCCGACAATGTATTCAGAAAAAAACAGGTGCAAAATGATGCAGTTAAAACTAAATACTTTGCGTTTAGAACATAAACATGTCAAACATGCAATAACAAGATTGACAGGATGAAATCTATTTACAGACATGTTGGGTCACAAAGCAAGAACTCTAATAAGTTCAACTTAGAAGGAACTGTAGGAAGTTTGTATAGTTTGTAGATTATTATTAAACTTTATGTTCTTATATTTCCATAAAAAAAAAAAAACAAGAACCAAACAACATGCTATTAGTGGCGGGCATTTATCATCTCGTTTAGCACTTATTGTGACAAATTTCTTACTGTGATAAGAAATCTCATTTATTGTTGTCTCAATAAAGTCAATTAATGATGTTAGAACAAAAAACTAAACTGACAGTTACCTAAAAAATAAGTAATTTTTTTTAACAGAATTTTTATCGTTGCTACAATTTTAACCCAAATTATCACGATAAAACTCTAAGCCCATATGGCTCACCTCTACATGCTTTGCTACTCAAACACAAAACACGTGACTCGGCTGGTTTTGCTTAAAGTGTCCTGACTCACATTTGCTGATATGATGGACAGCTCAAGTTTTTGCTGGTCAGACAGAGCAGGAAGCGCCCCGACGCGAATGGCAGGAAGCCGCTTAGACGCTCTGCGAACCACAAGTGGATCACGCTGCTGTTCGTCAGCTCCCCATCGGTCAGCGCCGACAGCCTGATTTCCTCAATCACATCCAGAATGGCCTCTGCCGACGGGATCATTCCCACCGACTGTAAGAAGGTAAACCAGTTTCACGCAAGCCAAGAATAAAGATGCTTGAAAATGAGACTGTAATCCCAAAAGCTACTGACCGTGTTGGCCAGCATGTCCAGCGCTGGGTTCAAAACACTGGAGAGTTTCGTCAGCAGCAACTTCCACAGGACCCTGGAATGGCTGCTGTTGCTGGGCAGATTACACCTCATCAGGGAAGCCAGCTGTTCGGCCGTGAAGTCCTCCAGCTGTGAGTGGAAGACAGTGAGACGGACCTGCAGTGCATCAGAAAGGCTTCACCAAGACTTTGACTCATTGGGTCGCAGTTACCTGAGCACAAGCATATTCCTCCAAGGTGAAGCTACATGAAACATGCGTGTGGTTGTTGAGGTATGACTGAAGAACAGAGCTGAAAAAGTACATTTAATGTTAGTTATTAAAGTCTAAAGACGATCTTGGTAGATTTGATTTCATTTTGTACTCATCAGGCAGAATTACCTGTTGATACTTCGGCAGATTAAAGTACCTGTCAAACAACAGGGGAAAAATATGATTTCATATATTTTAAAAATACACAAACTTGATGAGAAATAAAATAAAACTTAGCACATAATTCTTACTGTTGATCTGTGTGTCTTGGCACTGTGAACGACACATTATAATTTTTAATTTCTTACTGATATGCAAAAAAAAAATTATTGGAAAATGACTTCAGGATAAAATACTCACTGTGACTTCTGCTGGTACACACTCTGTCAAAAGCAAAGCAAACAAAAACATAAACAAAAACAATATATTCAGTCAACAAAGCCACAATAATTGAACTTCTAGCCCGTTGTTGCTTGTGTGGGTGTCAGTTCACCCACACAGAGGAGAGACTCACCAGCTGGTGCTATTCCCATCAGATCATCTATGCGGGCCCAAATAACCGGCTCCAGGTCCGGAGGCATCATTGTTATGGCTCCATACATTCGTTCAAAACTGACGCAAAGACAAACAAAACAAATTAAGATGCAAGCAAAAAAAAAAAAAAAAAAAAAAAAAAAAAAAAAAAAA